TGCCTGGTCAGTTCGAGATGCCTGTCTATTTGCTGTGTGTGTAAAACATGTATACATAGCCAATACTCCCATTCACAGTATCAACTATCATTGATCTCATTCATATCTTTGGCTCCAGGCTCACTGTCAGAGCTGGCAGAATGGTTGCATGACAGCAATTCCAGGTGAGCTGTTGCTCTGTGTGTTATGTTGTGTATGGTATCGCTCGAGGGGAACCTGTGAACCCATTGTGAACGTATTGCGAACGAAATTCACGATTGAAGGAAGTTGCGGACTCGGACACCGCAACTTTCCTCAATCGGGTTTTGAACTAAATTATTCCCGCGGTGTAAAGTGTGGTGTGATTAATTTAATTTATAAGGGTTGAATTTCAAATGTAACTCTCACACGCGCATTTCCTGGCCCTGTTTTGGCCCTGGTTGACACAAACAGGGCCAAAATGCCCAGTCTGGATGAAATTTCAATAATTACCCCTGATGTCCCACTTTGGGTCAAAAATAAAGGCAGATCAGGTTCCTGACTACCTATATGGGAGTGAAGCTGAAAGGGTAAAGCCAAGTAAATCACACCAGATCTGTTACAAGCCTGTAGCATAGGGGGGTTGGACTCTACACCTCACAGTGTAGAGTACAAGGTACCTAACACTCAGTATTCACATGCTACATCTCGATAAAAGTATGGTCACTAGCAATTAATTGTTACCACTATATGTAAGGTGTTAGTTATGGAACATTATTTATAATGTCCAGACTACTGAGTCTTGTTCAAGCAATTGAGCAAGCAAAGTTAAACACCGTGGATTTTTTGCTAATAGCTATGCTTTTACAATAATTCACTTGAGAGACACCATGATTTTTGCATTTATGTAGATTGACAAGTGCGCTTTCTGTTAGATTTGACATAAGTGTACTTTCCTCCGTGCATCACCGGTATCATCAGGGTTGGTTTTACCAATTCAAGGAGTCTAAAATAAAGTGAACACATATATCATTTCAAAGCGGATTGAACATTTGAAGATTTCAGACATGTAGAATGAAAAAGTGAACTCTCACTCATGTGTATGATTAAAGTGCGTGTACTCAAATTTATTTTGAAGGAAAGGCTTTATGAAAAACACAAGAGCTATTGGGACCGGGGGAATAAATACTTGTTAGAGTAGCAATGAAATGTTATAGGCAACTACAACAGAGTAAAAGTGAAATAATGAGTCCTTATTATTGACCAATGAAACGTTATTCACATATGATTAAGGTGCATGTACGCAAATCTGATTTGCAGGAAAGGCTTTATGAAATGTGTGTTATAACAAAGTAAAAGTGATATATTAAGATAAAGTCAACATTAATATCTTGAAAGGCCTTGTGGGTCAATGGATGAAAGTTTGAAAGGATCACTGTCTCAGTGTACCATCAAATTGTAAGACATTATTCTTGATGGATGTTTAATATAGGATGCTTCTCACCGG